ATAGATAAATACTGTCATGAAATTATTTAAAAAAGTATTACATTTATTACATTTTAAATATCAAAATCAAATTAAATAATTATACTTATAAAAATATCGATAATAAATATAAACTATTTAAACTATTATATTAGTATTATCAGTTTCATATGAAAAAAAAATTCAATTTAACAATTTTATATAGTTTGATATTAAAATCACAAGATATTAGTACAATTAATAAAAATCTTTTCTTTGCATTAAATTTTTTTTATTTTTTCGAATAAATTATAAAAAAAAATTATTTAAAATTTAAAATTTGTTCATTATGATAAATTTTCAAAAAAATAAAATAATGGGAAAATGGAAAAAATCAAAAGTAAGACCGTTTTCCGTTCTGAAATAATAACCTGATAAAGTAGGGTGTAAAAATCAATCATTCGATCATTGCTACCTCAATCGATCCAACCCGAAAAGTAAAAATAAAAGATTATATCGTTAATTTGCTTGACTCGCATGTGTCAATTAATTTTTAGTTTTCCATTAGTTTTAATTTTTCTATATGGGAGCTTTGCTATTAAATATGGTACCGGGACCTTTCAACAAAAAATGTGTTATTTTTGATTCATTGTTGGTGCCACATTACGTATTTTCTGATACTGCGCAAACTTAGACGAAATTATAGATTATTGCCCAGGATACAAAATTTGTCCAGCAGAAAAACCGGATTTATTATATCCGAATATATTTAAACCTCCGGATTGATTATATCCGGCTTTATTTAGTCTTATAATGCGTGTCACAATTAATTAAAAATAATTTATTAATATTGGCTAAAAGTTTGCGTCTAAGAGCAAATTCTTTATTTAGAAAAACGAAAATAATAATAATGCTTATTATTATTTTCGTTTGTAAATTTTAATTTATTATATTATCGTTATAAACTAAACGTAAATTTGAATTTTTTTACAAATGCTACGCTACGCTAATGAATTATGTGGACGTAACAAGTGATGATGTTTATTTGACACTAAAAATTTTCTAATTCATTATCGTCGTTCTCTTTGAGTGAATATTTTTTTTTATTTCTAATTCTTGTAAATTTTTGCGAGTTTTTTTCAATTTCTTCCGATACAAGTATTACATCTTTATAAAAATATTAATGGTACAGCTTAAAGCGATCGAACCGAAAATTGAAAAAATTAAAAAAAGGTAAATTGAAAAATTGAAAACTGAGAATAATAAAAAAATACATACCGCTCCCGCAGTGATTCAATCGCCTAAAAAAATGAGTAACAAAATTTAATGAAAAATAAAAATAAAATAAATAAAAAAAATTATTTAAAAACTTTTTTATGTATCACAGCCTGAAAAGTGTCCTAAATAAAAGAAAAGGACGCAATCAAATGTATTATCTTTTTATCGTTATAATCAGATTACCCTTAGCCGTACCCGGTGTCTTATCCAAAAAAAAATCTTTTAAATTAAATAGTACCCATGGGTACTGTGTAAGGAACCGGGTACTATCTTTGGGAGGATGTACTATACTTGTCGCCAAACCTTTGGGAGGGATTTGTCTAATGGAAATAAAAGGACAAATGGGGATTTTCCAGTGATACCTAAAATCTCATGATGGAAAACTGGAAAAATCAACCGGATATAATAAATTCGGATTAAAATCCGGTTCCAATTTTTGAAAATAAATAAATCCGGATATAAAAATAAATCCGGTTCCAACCTCACGTGCCGACGATTAAATATCAAAGATTTTCTCGGCGAATATCAAGAATAAAAAAAAAATGAACGAGATTAAACATCTAAAAATGGAAGATGATTAGCAACGTGATGAAATTCTTCTAGAAATTATTCAAGCGTTACTAACATACCTTTTGTTTACAGATTTATTCTCATGATTTTTGTAATTTATGTAATGGCAAGTTTGAAATTTTTTATTTGGTTTTTTCGTTTGATTTATTCAGAGTGTATAAAATTTAAACTGATGAAAATTACCTCCTTATTATATATATTTGTAGCGATATACATCTCATGATCTTGGAATCGGCAAGTATGATCGTAGAAAGAATGCGATACTGCGACTGTGATACGGATAATTTGATAGTGTTTATAGCAGTTCTTTAGTGTTTATTAGTTACAAACGATAATAAAGGTAAGCAGAAGGTTTCGTGTTTTATGTTTTAATGATTTTATTAATAATAATCGGAATTTCTAATCTAATACAACATAGATAAAGTATTGCCTTCAACGTCGGCGCTCAATGCAATCAGGTATGCATATTAATTATATATTTCGGAATTATTACAATTAAATGTAAAGGGAAAGGGAAAAAATGCGATGTTTTTATTTTATTATTACGAATATCGGACGAAACATTTAGAAGAAAAAAAAATCCCGTCGTTATATATTAAAAAAAAATGAATTTGGTTATAAATAGTTAAAAAAGGTGATAAATAAATAGATGGAAAATTAATTTATTAACTTAATATTTTCACCTATTTATAAAAAAAAATTAATATCATAAGAGAATTTATATAAAAGAATCAAAATAAAATAAAATTTATGAAAGGAACTTACAAAACCAAATGGCTTCCGAACTGCGATATATAGATAGGGATATATTATATTAAAGAAATTTGAAAAAAAAAAGTTAGGTAATTAAAACAAACAAGTAAGCCGAGATTTATTATATGCTAGTTTCGTCAACTTTTTTTACTTGGATAAATTTTCTCACAAACTATTTTATTCGAAGTGAGATTCGGTTTGCATACAACACAACAGAAAGTCTCTGGACAATATTTTTATATTTTCCAATAGATTTTTCTATTCATAATTCAAGACGACATTTATAATGAAAATCTCATCATGAGGTGCATGATTTTTTTTTTTTAGAAATTTTCTTGCAAAGCGTCCATATACACCCTCTCAACGGCCTTTGCTTTGTGGGCGTGATATTTAATTTTGAAATATATACACAAAAAAGAAATTTTTTCGCGCGTTTTGATTCTTTCATTATAAAAATAGTCTTGGAAGTCCGTCGGTCAATTTGTCTGGATTTTCAGTATTATTTTTTTTAAATCAATTATCGTATTTCTTAATTCTACTTCTACTGCTTAGATATCGCTTATTTTATGGATCAAGCTATATCTTTTAAGGTGTAAAAAAGCTTATTAAAAATTTCTTTTTAAAACGCGTAAAGTTGAAGGAAAATGTCAAGGTACGAAATATTACTATTAAAATTAAGAAAGTTTTCTAGTTTGCAATTACAAAAAGAAAATGTAAAGCTTGAATTTTGGAAGTTTATTTAAAGTTTCTAATGTTAAAATTTATATTTTTCATTAAAATATTGAATAAAAAGTTTAATAAAGCATAAAATACTATGTTAATATTAAAATTTCGGGTATTATTATTTAATTTTTTTGTTCTTTTTAAACGCGAATTTTCTCTTTTTAAAAAGCATTGAGAAATTCTCTTTTTTTATTAATTTATATCAGAAATATTAATAAATAAAGCTAGTCAAGAATTAAATACTTTTATTAATATTTGCTCTTCAGTAATATTGTTTTCACATAAATGTGACTAGGGATTGGAATCGATTCTGCGAAAATCGATTCAACATAGATAAATGAATTGAATCGAATCGAACCTTTTTTTATTTTTTTACATATTAATCGATCTACTTCAAAGTATTTTTCAATGCTGCCTAAGTTAAGTGTAGATCATTTTGCTAAAAATTAGAAACTGGTAGCCAGGTTGAACGTCCATGAAAAAAAATTTGGAGATTCGATTCCCAATCACAACTCATCAAAAAATGTAACGAAATGACAGACATTAAGTATCGGCAACATGCATGATCGTGCATATAGTCTTAATGCGGGCCGACGTGACATTTTTTGATGCGGACGCAGGGTAAGTCACGTGCTATCAGCTACGCCAAAAAATTGAATGTATTATTTCTTTTTATCTAACGCCCATATTTTATTACGTGTGTTCTCTAGGTTACTTAACAATATGTGATTTTTTTTTTATTCCGAATGTCTGTTCTTTTGCTTTAATATTGCATTCTATTAAAGGCGTATTTATTTATTTATTTTTGACATTGTTTTTTTTTGCTTGTGAATATAAAAATATAATTATTATTTTTTTTTAGGTAGTTCTTTTTTCTGTTCGATCATTTCTCTGTTTTTCCTCGATCATCTCGGGCAAAGGCGTCAATTAAATAATAGGCAGGCTTTTTCTCTCAATCCAAGTAAATCTTATATCATATCGTAACAGAATAATAATGAATAGATGAAACTGTTAAGATTGTGTTGAATTTGACATTTATTTATTTTTGAACGTGTCGTGTACAAATTTAAGAATTACTTAAACAAAAATAATAAATTTTAATTATTTTATAAAGATATAAAAACAAATAAAAAACGTTGCATTAATTTCATTGCATTTAACCTTTTCAAATTTTTGTCTAATCATCAATTTCGAACTTTCTTCCTTTAGGTAAATAATTTTTTTTTTAAAAATTATAAAGCAAACTTGTAGACTCGAGGGTTTACTCTTATAGATGGAACTGTAATTGTTTATTCTATAGACCCAATATAATGCAAATTTCTGAACGGTAAATATTAATAACTTGATAGTGTATCAGCAGTTGTTGGATTAAAATATCAACATTCTCGATTCCAAAAAGCCAAGAATTCACACAATCGAAACAAAACCATAAACATCTGAAGCTTTTAATATACAATTGCCCTTGAAAAATCTCTGGTGCGACATAAAGGAAAATTCATCATCAGCATCATCAGCATCCGATGATATGGCTATTGTACTTCTCGTTTCGAACCTATTACAGCATAAAAGATTTTTTTTAATCAGTGAATAATAACTGCACGATGTAAATTTTTAAGGCCATCTATATAAATTTTTACAAAGAAAATTTTTTTTGTTGTGATGTATCAGATCTGATACAGAAATTTGGATCTATTGAAGTTTATTTATTTATTATTTAATCACAACATATTTTGTCCTATTATTATGTTTTGTTAATTTTTAAGTTAACCATATTTATAGGCAAACTTATTTTTAAAGTTTTTTTTTACCTTTTTGATATTTATCATGCTTTCTAAAATCTTTTTTTTGCTTTTCAGTCTTTTTAGAATTGTCATAATGAGAAATAATTTTTGTATTTAACCCATCTTCTGAACAAGATAGATACTCAGTAATATTTGAAGCAATTAAACGCTTAGAGTGTAAATGTAAATAAAAATATAAAAAATAAAGTGAAGAATGTGGTAATTCAGCATATTCCATTACCGAATCAAACATATTTTTTTTATAATCTAACCAATAATGCAAATTCGTTAAATCATTTTTCGAAAATGATAATAAGTATTGATAAAGTTCAAATGATAATTGTCCCATCCAATAATATTTCATCTCCAACCCTTTAAAATATGGAATGATATCAAGTATTTCATGTGGATATTGACTTAAATACGATTTAATTAAATCAACCCTACGAGATATTTTTTTTTTTAAATACAAATGTAAATGTAATGTAAGTATTTTATATATTAAAATCATAAAAACTTACTTCAAGGTCTTATCTTTGAAACAATTTAAACAACACCTAATGCCAAATTCCCAAAAAACCTTACAATTCTTACTGAACATACAAATTTGACAACCTTGTCCCATTAGTAATTCAATATAACGTTTTTCATTCATTCCTTTTGGTGGAAATTTATCGTTTGGCAAGAATTGTAAGCGAGATTTTTTCGATATTTGCTGGGTAGAAAAGGAATTTGATGCACATAAATAACCATAAAATTTACGACATACTTTAGAAAGTATTAATAAATTCTTTGGCGGTAAATAGGCGCAAAACTTTGCAAAAGATTTCGGGTGGGAGCTTAGAAATCGGGGAAATATTTTGTGGGGGGGTGGCATTTTAGGAATTCTAAAGTTAAAATGCATTATTTTATGATTTTTTTCGTTTTTCGGGGATTTTATCCGTGCCATTGCAACGATTTGATTTACCCAAATAATCAAAGTTTGTTTATTTCACACGTTCCATATACTTTTTTTCAAAATGTTTTTTCAAAATTAAAGAACATTTTTTATTTTTTTGAAAAACTGCTTAACTATATACAATATATAAACAAAAATATCACGTGAAAACTTACAATACCACCTTCAAAATAATTTTGTTTTATGAAAACAGTAAATCTAAACTGGATTTAAATCCGAAGATCGAATCCGGTTCCAACCTCTAACTCAATACAGGATTTATGAAATAATTATATGGTAAATAAAAAAGTGTTTATTGGTTATTTAGATTTACTAATAATTTTTTTATTAAAAATCTAGAATTTTTGAACTTTAATATTGAATATCGATATCGCGCGGCCGGTGCTCGGGTTCAGAAAATAAACAGAAAATAAACCGATTTCATTGATGAAAAATTAGCAAGAAAACGACTTTAGAACGAATAATATAGTTATGGATTCAATTTCACCAATAGGAAATATAAAAAATATTTAATTGTTTGATTCATTGTTAAATGAACTTGTCATTAAACTTTGGCAGTACCAAAAAATTACAATGTTATTTATGAAATTTATTTAAAGCAGTTGGTAATTGATTTCCAAAATTCTTATTTTTTGATAATTATACAAAAATAAAACACGTGAAGACTTAAAGTTTGCAGATCAGCATAAACTGCATAGTTGATTATAATTAAAAAATCTTTTTTTTGAATAAATCCGGTATTTGCTTCACAAGTCCCAAAGTAACTTTCGTAATTTTTTTTTAAAAATGCGAAAAAATTGTATAATTATAATATATTGTTACAAATAAATATAATTGTTCTATCGTGCCAGGGCATTGTGTCCCATTTCTGTTTAGTTTAAAAATTAAGTTTTGTTAGTATTTAGTTAGATTTCTGTAGATCGA